AAGGTTAGACATGGGTTTTGGTCTCATAACACTGCACATTGTTGATAGATGAAAGTAACCCTCGCTAGCTATGGAGTGCATCAGTAATGAGAAGACTTGAATTGCTATATTACGAAGTGTTTTAATGAGAAGTGATAGCAAGGAGTATTATCGTCTTCACTGCAGACTTTTACAGACCGGCGATAAGGAAGGAAGTGAGACGTGTTCAAAAGAGCTTTTGTCTTTTGCTATACCGCAATGTCAGAAAAGTAATGATTACTTTTTTTGACTTTATGTGTAGGTTGGTGTTACCTATCCCACTCATGGGAAACATGGTCATCTTAGTCTGGATAAATATTGTATTATCCTATTTGTAGACTTATACTATTTCCTTCTATAAATAGATAGTCTTGTAATCATTTGAAAGTGTGTCCAATTCCATGTTCCTTGTAAACTTATAAATTTTAAATACAAGTCTCCTTATCACTTATAATTCTGTGTTCATCTTTTGCTGTTCTTCATTTAATAATTTGTGTTTGACTACAAACCATGTTATGATTCAACAAATATCTCTTTCAGTTGCTTATAATTAATGATGTATGATGTTGTAATGCTTCGTTTATAATTCCACTATCTTTTATTGTTAAGCTTTATCAAAGATCCATGAGATTAACTTAATTTCCACACCATAATCTCTTTATCATTAACTACTTCTCTCAAGTATTTTTATCAGAGCCATAGTGGTTACTTTTTAACTTTCTTTGAAAATTCATAATCTTTTCTAAAGAAAATCTAAGATTTAAAAGGCCTTGTATACCACTTAGCTCATCTTTTTCGAATAAAGGATAGTGGAAAAACTATACTCATTAAATGTATATAACAATGTTGGAGGTTCTACTTGAGCTCCAATACTTGTTACAAGTAAATATCATCACTGGTCTCAAAGAATGGAATGATACTTACGAAGACTTGGAAAGGAAGCTTGGAGGTGTGTCGAAAAAGGACCACATGTACCTTTCCTTACACCCATTGTCACTAATGGAACTCAAACAAGACTTGGAGATGGTTAAGTTTCCATGACCAGACCTACCAATGATGACATCGACAATATGGAGATATATGAAATTGTTTTATATGAAATCTCTTGTGGAGTCCTAGAAGCTTTGATCTTATTATTAACTATAAATATGCAAAAGAAATAGATGATGTTCTTAAGAATATTTATGAAGGAACATAACAAGATCGAGAAAGGAAGCCAAAGTCAACCTTGAACGATTTCAAAAGCTTCAAAGCTCTCCCTGGAGAAAGTATTGATGATTCCTACAAAAGATTCAACCTCATCATCACCATAATCTCAAATACAGGCATTACTCTAAGTGATCATGAAATAAATATGTAGATCCTAAACGGTTAAGGAAAACAGTGGACTATGGCGAACAAGATAGTTTAAGGAGATAGCAAGATCATGGTGGACCACTCACACATTGTAGTCATATAAAAAATAGATGCAACATGATGATAAAGAAGCTATCCAAAATCGGTTACCCTTGGTTAGCCAACAGTTCAACATGCTTCCACCACCAAACTATTGCAAAAATGAGTAGCCTACCAGACCTCCCTTTAACTGTAGTTACACACCTTTAACACTTACCAACTCTACTAAAGCATCAAAAGATTATAAACCATATGACACCATACTTGGCACCGAAAATAAGAAATATGAAGTTCTCATGTGCCAAAAATGTCATAAGGAGAATCACTTTGCAAAATTTTGTAAGGCTAGTATGGTTAAGAACAAAGCATTCAATCTCATAATCGCTCAAGAGATTCAAGACAAGGAAAGAGCAATTGAAGAAGCATTTGTAGCACAATTACAAAGATACCATCAATTATAGTCCTTGGGAGATAAAGATGATGAAACTAATAAAAAAGGAAGCGAGGAAATTTGTATCTCAGTAAAAAAAGGGGTGATAAAACTAAATATGGATCCACAAGGATGAAAAAAAAATACTGCTTCATAGCAAAGGAATGAAGCCTCAACATCATTGAGAATGTAAATTTATTGATATAGGTAAACAGCTATAGCATGCATGACTTTGAACTTCACCTAGAAAAACTTACTTAAACGAGTGCAAACTTCCTTATAGATTATAAAAAAAACATTGGATGAAAGGAACATAGCATCCCAAGAGTTGTATCACTTGAGAGAAAGACTAGAAGATAAGAAACGTAAGGTCACTATGTTAGAAAAACCCTTGAAGTTAGGAAAGGGTGCTAGGTTGTTTAGTGAAACTCAGTTAGATGCTTCTTTTAGTCAATGGGATCTGAACAAACTAGATATTGTACATCTAAATAAGTTAATAGACTCTTTATTGAATGAATAGCAACCAAAAATCTAGTGAATAACGGGTATGTAGATAATACATACAATTAGGGTTAGTCAAATAGTTCTAACACCGTAGAGAAATCTCCACCATGGTTTGATGTCGAACATCCTTTTGTCCTACTTGACATGACCTTTCATTTTCCAATCAATGAAAAGAAATACCTTAAAGACTGTTGGATAAGCTGTCTAAGTCCATAACGAAATCTAGTATGTACTTGACCCGACCCAACATGGTCCATTTGGGTATATACTAAATGAGAGAAATAATACTTGTGGTTTATTAATATATTATAATTTCTAATATATTATTAAGTATTATTTAATTAGTATTCATCAATAATTAATTAAGTGATCAAAAGATAACTAATTAAATATATGGGTTGATTATGTAAATCATCCATAATTTGTATAGTGGGGTAAAAGGCTCCGTGGATTATCAAGTTGGGTTAAACCCGCAGGATGCTCCACGGATGCTCCATGGGAGTTACAAACCCATGGGTCATGGAAATGAAGAGTCATGTCACATTAGGGTTTACATGGTGTAAACCTAGATGTGACACACTATATAACGAACATGATATTGACCAAAATTGTCTACATGAACTTACAAGAGGGCTAGGCTGATTTTTACAAGTGTTTGCATTCTCTCAAAGTCATTACAAAGCGTTTGGTGTTTTGTGAAGCATTTGAGGCATCACACTTGGGGTGCTAGGCTCTCAAGGTTTTCAAGGAATCAAATCAACTACAAGGTATGTAATTCTAGCCATCTTTTAGATTAAAAGTTCCCCATGTATGCTAGATAGGATTATGAACCTTGGAAATCATATTTTGCATGTATTTTATACAAACATAGATCCAAGGTTTGCTAGGGTTGCATGTAACCTTAGGGGTGTTAAAATGCTCAAAACCCATCAGTGGTATCAGAGCCTACACTTGTTTGTTAATACTTGATGCAAAATAGAGGAAAATTCTAATTTTTGAGCTGTCTGCATAGGGGACTCGACGAGTCCAAGTGAAAATGCATCCAACTTGGCAATTCAGTTCGTGTACTCGACGAGTTGGCCATGCATGGTGCAAAATTTCAATTTTTGCTACTGGAAGTGGACTACAAACATTACCCTAAACTATTTTGGTGCTATGAAACTTGTTTTAGATGGTGTAATGGGTGTTTTATTCCATTTACAATGGCTAATTTCAAATTTTCATGATTTTATGTGTTCATATGTTCTTGAAACTTTGATATGAATATTCATGTTCTTATGAGTTTTTTTGATAGATCATTGGAATTACTTGTTTAAATGATTCATTCATGATCACTATGTGTTTTAATTCAGTTCATAACTTTTCCTCAACTTATGGGTAACCAAAAGTCTCCGTGTGTTAAAAACCATTAAAAGAACACATAAGATATAAAATGAAGAGTCTTCATTTTAATAACTCATAAGTTATGAAATTGAAAGGTTTTGTAAAGTTACAAAACTTGCCCTCAAGTTTTGGAACATATAAAGTCACTTAATAAACTTTAGTTCCAACCCCTAGATTTTTAAAAATTAAAAATTTCTTTCGGAAGATAGTTTTAATGTGATGATTAGTTTCCTTTAGACGTGAGTTATTCATTGGGGCCATTTGGTAGACTATTTGTGTCGAATAGTTAATTTCAACATATAGTTTCTTGCTTGGTGCATAGTCATACGATACAACAAAAGTTGAGTCTACATCTCAAATAATTCATCTAATACTTCATACTTGATTTTAACATATATAAATAATAACAATCTACAACCATGTAGTTTTGTATATTTATAACATGTCCAATATATAAACTACACCAATCCGCAATCATGTTGCTTCATCTGCTAGCCCTGCATTAAACATCAAATAAGCTTCTAAGTCACATATTTGAAGAAATTGTAAAATAATAAGTTGTTGATTGTGCCTTATTAATCACATAACACTTCTTTGTACACAATGTTTGATGTGTAGATTCCATCATTATCAAATGTTTTTTCTGGCTTTACTAATAACTTGGTATTGACACGTGATATTCCTCTGGACAACGCCACATAAAGCTGGCCATGTGAGAATACCGATTCTGGTAGATAAACACCTACATTTGGAATTGTTTGTCCTTAAGCTTTATTGATTATCATAGAGAAACTAAGAAGAAGTGGAAACGGCTTTGTCTTAAGTTTGAATGGGAACATCTCCTCGTCAGACATACATAGAAGAATTCTTGGTAAAACATTCTTTTTCCAGCATGTTGGCCAACAGCTATCTCTGCATCAATGACATTTTGTTGGAAAGCTCGACATATCAATCTGGTGCCATTACATAACCCATTTGAAGGATCGATATTTCTCAAAAGTATTACAGGGCACTCAGTTTTTAACCGAAGATAATGAGGGGGTACACCACTAACATTTAGCGAGTTCAAATATTCCATCCGATATAAGTTATTTTTGTCATCTTCCGCTTCATCAAAAGTTATAGTAAACTTTTTGCTCACCAGAAAATCGTTCGATAAACTTATTATTAATCTCATCAACACTTTCATTTTTAGTTGACAATATCGCCCTCGAAATGATAAATTTTTAATCGACGTCGTTGGATTGCAAAGAAGGAAATATTGAATCAATCAGAGCGTCCACTGATTTAGTTTTATCAGTGTATGGAATGGACATGTTATCAGGTATACGAATATAGGGAGCTTCTCATCTGTGATGTCTTGCATTGTCCGATCGACTGCTTCTACTGCATGCCTCTTAGCCATTGCTGCTTCATCCCATATGATTACCTTTTCCTTGTGAAATGTCTGATCTTTCCCACTTTGTTTAGTGATCTTGCACATCAAGTTATTATCAAGATTGAGGGGAATTCCAAATAGTGAATGAGCTGTTCTCCCTCTTGGAATGTTGTTAGTCGCAACACTTGATGTGGCAGTTGCAAGTGCAATAAGACCACATGCACGAATATTGGCCAACAAAGCTTTGTACAAAATGTCTTTCCAGGTCCACCGGGACCATCTATGAAGAACACACCCAAAATATTTTGATCCACATGCCTCATTATCTCATCATATGCAAACTTCTGGTCTAGATTGAGAGAATCCCGCGTATGTAAGTCTTCATATTCCACATTTATAGAGTATTCTTCTTGCACCTCATGATAGCCTCTTGATTGTAAATCGATGTGTGGACTGACATTTGGAAGGTCATAATCACTAAGCTTTTTACTCATAGATTCTAGGAAGAATCTAATGTCGATGAGGACCATATTTTGCACTCGCTCGGCACATCCATATTGTGTCCTATAATCTTCAGAAAGAGAAGCATAGTGGTCGTCCCATAATTTGTGAACATTTCCTGGTTCACAAAAAATCAGCATTGTCGCAAATAACCTTCTCAGTGCGCTGGGAAATTGAAATACGGAAGCCTCTATAAGACACTGTGATAAATTATCATCGATCTCCATTAAACCTCTTTCAAAATCTGCTTTTCGAAATGTAGGTTGTAATACACCATTGGCTATGTATAAATCTTCAAAGCAGGTAGGCCCGGTGATATGACATAAAAGCAAGCCTAGGTAGTATCTCTCTCCTTCAGCCGGATTAGCATAATCAAGTCAACTAATCATTGATTTATGTTCCCTGGTCCTCCAACAATGGTTGCTCCGATTCCATGTAAAATTCTTGGGAAAATCCTTATACAAATATTTTGTTGCATTCAAATCTTCTTTATTCTTCTTGAAACATGCCGTCAACATTGAATTTGTTTCTTTCTCCCTAACAACAATGTCTTCTATTATGTCACCGTCTTTGAATCTAACCAACTGTTGATTCAGGAGATGTATTTGCAAGGCCATCACACAACTGTGGATTTTTGAAAGAAGAAAGCTAAAAACTCGTCATAATGCCTCAAGTGGAGACACATAACGTTCGTCTTGAAACCTTCGTATCTCATTAATAACAACATTTTCTTGGCCTTTATCAATATGGATAACTTGTTTTTCATGGCCCTTATAAACATATTTGAAGAGGTATTTCACAGACTTTATACTCGAACAAAGATCAACGTTGATATGACAATTAAACATCATTTACAACTTTGGGTTCTATAGAGCCACCCATCTGTTATCCGATGATGTATTTCTTACAATCACCTCAATTCTATTATTTCTCCTTCTATATAATGGATATGAGTCCTCTCCTTGTGATGTCCTTTCATTGAATTGCCTAGGATATCTGAAACGACATATTTTTGGCACACCCTGCATACATGGACTTTTATCCCGTAAGCTACCACAAGGACCGTGCATCATGTGACTTTTGACAAGATCATACATTTGAGGAACGCTTATTGGATCGGGAATTTCCGCACACACAAGTTTGTCATAATTGTCTGGATTATTCTGTTGGATAACGTGTCTAAGTCCATAACTATTTCTGCTATGTACTTGACCCGACCCAGCATGGTCCATTTGGGTTGCATGGCACCAAGGAATTCGATAGAATAAATGAGAGAAATAACACTTGTGGTTTATTAATATATTATAAGTTCTAATATATTAATAATATTATTTAATTAGTTTGATCAAGAATTAATTTAGAATTAATTAAGTGATCAAAAGATAACTAATTAAATGTATGGGTTGATTATGTAAATCATCCATAACTTGTATAGTGGGATAAAAGTCTCCATGGATTATCAAGTTGCGTTACACCCATAGGATGCTAAATGGATGCTCCATGGTAGTTACAATCCCATGGGTCATGGAAATGAAAAGCCATGACACATTAGGGTTTATATGGTGTAACCCTATAAGTGTCAACACTACATAAAGAACATATTCTCCACTAAAATCGACTACAGACAAGAAACAAGAGAGCTAGGCCGATTTTAGAAGTGTGTATTCTCTCTAAAGTCATTCCAAAAGCATTTGGTGTTGTGTGAAGCATTTGAGGCGTCACACATGCAGTGCTAGGCTCACAAGGTTTCAAGGATCATACGCAACAACAAGGTATGTTATTCTATCTTTCATTCAAGTTAAAAATTGTTCCCCATGTATGCTAAATAGGAATATAACCTTGGAATTCAACTCTGCATGATTATTAGACAAACATAGATCCAAGGTTATTAGGGTTACATGTACACTTAAGAAGTGTTAGAATGCTCAAACCCCATTAGTTGTATCAAAGACTAGGCTTGTTTGTTGATTTTTTGTGCGAACTGTTGAAAAAAATTGTTTTTCTGTTTTTTGCTCGTATGAACTCGCCGAGTCCATGGGGGGACTCGACGAATCCATGAACAAATGCAAGCTACTCGTCGAGTCTGTTCTTGCACTCGACGAGTATAGGCTGCAGTTTTCAGAAATTCGACTTTTGTTGCTGGAAATGGACTAGAAACATTACCTTAAACTGTTTTGGTACTTGAAAACTTGTTTTGGATGATGGAATGTTTATGCTAATTCATTTGCAATGGCAGTTATCAAAATTAAAAGTTTTTAAGTGTAATTTTTTATTATTGAAATCTTCATATTCATGTTCTTGAACTTATCAAGATTAGATGATCATAGGAATTGCTTGTAACCTTCATGGTAGTTAATTCATGATCATAAAGTGTTTTAATGGAGTCCATAACTTGTCCTCAAGTTATGGAAAACCAAAAGTCACACTTTTATTAAAGCCATTAAAAGAACACTAGAGTTATAAAAATGAAGAGTCTTCATTTTTAATACTCAATTAAATTCATTAGTTATAACAAATGAAAAGTTTTCAAAGATTACAAAACATGCCCTCAAGTTTTGTAACAAGTAAAGTCTTGATTAAAACTTTAGTTCCAACCCTTAGAATATTAAAAGTTAAAATTCAACCCTTATAGTTTATAATATTATAAGTTAATATATATATATATATATATATGTGTGTGTGTGTGTGTGTGTGTGTGTGTATGTATGTATGTATAAGATCAAGTCGTCTCACCGCTAGTACGCCTCGTTCACGAAGCCGGTCTATAAGGGGGTATAAGGTTGTTGCCTATAAAATGGGAACTTAATGGATCTCCACTCTCACCCACCGCTTCCTTGATCGGTGGAGGGTCGTTAGCCGAACGGGTAGGACAAGGTCTTATAAATTCTCATTAAAAGTATGATGAATATTATAAAGTAACTAAATGTTTTATTAAATTCTCAATCTTAGTTACTTTAGGAAAAATGTGAATAAGGTGCTAATCCATGAAATTACACTTTACACTTTGTTTAAGTCGTTCGTGGAGCATGTGTCGTTAACCGGCACACTAACTTGGACTTAACAAGGTAGGTAATGGTTGATTTAAGGTTTATCATAGTATCGGTGGAACGTGTATGGTTTACCGGGAAATCGATTGAGTGGTAAACTTTAAGGGTACCAAGTAATTTGTTTGGTTACGTCACACCTCGTTTTATGATCCTCGGTATCGTAGTCACAAAACTTGGAGGGCACACTCGAGATTGAAACATGCCTTTGAAAAGTTCATTGAATCTCAAAAGAATCTAGGAATTTATAAGAACCAATTTAAAACCTAAATATATTTCGTTTTTCACGGTGGAAATTGGTGAATCGTCATTCACCTACCTTTCAAATATGTTATAGTGTGGAGTGCAGCATACCTCTTGTAAGTTATAATATATTGTGATTGGATCCTAGACTTAATATTACATTTGGGTGTTTTATTAAGGACACTCTTAATATCTAAACTAATATTGTCCTTTTCTTTTAGATGTCTTCCAACGATGCTGCTTCTGGCTCTAATCCTAATGGCTCCTTTAACCTTATGAACTTATGTGGGAAAGTCACTTTTGAAGGATGCAATTTCAATGAATGATGAGACAAAGAATATGTCCTTCATAAGGAGTTGAGGGAGATTGATGAGACCACTACAACTCCCCAGGAGATCGCTGACTTCAAGGCACGTGAAAGGGATGCTACCAAAGTGGCATGCATCATGTTGGCCACAATGACAACAGAACTCCAAAAGTCCTGTGAGGAGTTCTACCCTTTTGAAATGCACCAAGATCTAATGGAAAGATACCATCAAAGTGCACGACGAGAGAGGTATGAAATCGTCTTCTCCATGATAACAACCATGATTATGGACGGAGAGTACGTCATGATCCACATGCAGAAAATGCAAAGGTATGTGGATCGGTTGATGAAGCTTCATGTGAACTTCCCTAAGGATCTTGCAATAGATATCATTTTTCACTCCTTACCATCGTGTTATGATCAATTCCGCATGACATATCACATGAATAAGGAAGAGGTCACACTCAACAAACTTCAGGGACTTCTGAAGACCGCAGAAACAGGTCTTAAGGGAAGTCGGTTGTTAACACTCCTACTCCAAACTCCGCTGCAGTTTTGGCAATCGGAAAAAGTCAAGGGAAGAAGAGGAAGAGCTCTTCGAAGGGTACCAAGGCTAGGACCCTTGATGGCTCTTCTTCAAGTGGAACCAAGAAAGGTTTCATCACTCCTTTTTTCTGACCCAAAAGAGGCTGAATGCTTCTATTGCCATGAAAAGTCACATTGGAAGCGGAACTGCCCCAAGTACCAGCAAGATGTGAAGGATGGGAAAGTTAAACCCAACCATGCAGGTATTTACATTATCTTATATAATAACTCACCCCATTCTAACTCTTGGGTCCTCGATACAAGTTGTGGTGTTCATATCTGTTCTAATTTGCAGGGACTAAGAAGAAGTGAGAATGTGGAGCAGGAAGAATAAACTTAATCATGGGGAATAGGAAAGCTCTACCTGTCACCAAGATTGGAGTTTATGCTTTATCACTAAGTAGTGGGTTTAGTTTAGACTTGAACAAATGCTGTTATTCTCCAGAAATGGCAAGAAACATTATTTCCTTTCATGCATTGTATAAACAAGGATTTACCTTCTTATTTGATCATGAAGTTGGTTCGATTAATGCTTTCTTTAATAATGTTCTTTATTTTAAAGCATTACCTTTTGATGGTGTGTATGAAACTGTATCTGTGGTTGATAACTTAGGAAATAATGTATTGTGTATTGATTTTGTTAATGATAATAACTTGGATAAAGCATCATTATGTCACTATCGTCTTGGACATATAAGCAAGAAACGCATAGGCTAACTTCAAAAGGATGGAGTCTTGGATTCATTTGACCTAAAGTCAGATGATAGTTGCGAATCATGCTTACTTGGAAAATGACAAAGTCACCCTTCATAGGTTCTTGTGAGAGGGGTGAGGGTTTGTTGGATCTTCTACACACAGATGTGTGTAGGCCCTTCAAACATGCCTCAAGGGATGCTACTTATTATTATTTAACTTTTACTGATGATTACAGTAGATATGGATATGTCTACTTAATCAAGTATAAGTCAGAGACTTTCGAAAGGTTTAAAGAGTTTAAACAGGAAGTCAAGAATCAATTGAGCGAAAACATTAAGATGCTTCGATCCGATTGAGGTGGTGAGTATCTTAGTTTACAGTTCCTCGACTAGCTTAGGGAATGTGGGATGTTCTCACAATTGACACCTCCCAGGACACCGTAGTTGAATGGTGTAGCTGAGAGGCATAATCGAACCTTGTTGACATTGGTTCGTTCCATGATGAGTCGAGCTTCGCTACCAATCTCATTTTGGGGGTATGCCTTGGAGACTGTCGCCCATATCCTTAATATGGTCCCTACAAATAAAGTTGCCAAAAGTCCTCATGAGATTTGGATTGGTAAAGTACCCAAAGTAGACCACATCAATATTTAGGGTTGCGAGGATTTCGTGAGACACTAGACTCATGAAAACCTCGAACCTCAAAGCGAGAGTTGTATTTTTCATCGGCTACCCACAATAATCCTCTGGTTACCTCTTCTACAGACCTAGTGAAAATGTGGTCTTTGTAGCTAGGATGGAATTCTTTCGAGATATACGGAGTTCATAAGCCAAGGAAACAGTGGGAGGAAAGTTGACCTTGAAGAAATTCAAGAGTCAAGTGGTGAAGGAACTTCAAACCCTAGCACTCAACTTGAGGAGGAAACTCCTATTGATCCAATTGACATGTATGTACCTCTGAGGCTTTCCACAAGGGTTAGGAATGCACCTGGGCATTACTATGGATTCCATATTACTGCGGAAGGTGATACACTTATCAGTGATGAGACACTGATAGGTCTGGATGAACCTAACAATTACGCAGAAGCCATGGCAGGCCCTGCGTCAGCCAAGTGGAAAGAGGCAATGGACAACGAGATACAATCCATGTATGACAATCAAGTTTAGAACTTGCTTGAGAATGTACCAGGTCGTAAGACTGTAGGGTGCAAATGGATCTTCAAGAAGAAGACCAACATGGATGGTAATGTACACACTTATCAGGCACGACTGATTGCAAAGGGTTTCTCACAAACTCCAGGAGTTGATTATGATGAGACCTTTTCTCTAGTGGCCAAGATTAAGTCTTTTAGGGTTCTGTTAGCCATAGTCGCATTTCATGACTATGAAATATGGAAAATGGATGTCAAAACCGCTTTCATTAATAGTAAGTTGGTTGAGGATGTTTACATGAGTCAGCTAGAGCGTTTTGTCAACACAAAGTACACTAATATAGTGTGTAAGCTTGAGAAATCCATTAATGGGTTAAAGCAAGCACTTCATAGATGGAATCTTTGCTTTGATGACAAAGTTAAGGAATTTGGATTTTCTAGAGTGAAGATGATTCTTCTGTATATGTCAAGGCTAGTGGGAGTATAGTTAGCTTTTTGTTATTGTATGTGGATGACATACTACTTATACGAAATGACATCCCAACTCTGTAGGAAGTTAAGTCCTGGCTTGGGAAGTGTTTCTCTATGAAGGTCCTAGGAGAAGCTGCCTATATTCTAGGGATAAGGATCTTGAGAGACCGGAGTATAAGACTAATTAGACTTAGTCAGAGTACCTACTTGGATATGGTGCTGAAGAGATTCAGCCTGCAGGACTCCAAGAAAGGACAGTTACCCATCCAGAGTAATGCCAGATTGAGTAAGACACAAAGCCCTAGTACTGAGGTTGAGATAGCAGAAATGAGTCGAATACTTTATGCTTCAGCTATAGGGTCAATCATGTATGCTATGATGTGTACTCGACCTGATGTAGCCTTTTCCTTGAGCATGGTTAGCAGGTATCATGGGAACCCTAGCAAGGCAGACTGGATTGCAGTAAAGAATATCCTCAAGTACCTACGAAGGACTAAGGACTGGGTCCTTACCCTCGGTGGGAGTGAAAACTTGAGAGTTGTAGGGTATACTGATGCTAGCTTTCAGAATGATACGGATAATTTCCGCTCTCAGTCAGGCTGGGTCTTTAACCTAAACGGAGGAGCAATTTCTTGGAAGAGTTCCAAGCAAGAGACAGTGGCGGATTCAACTTGCGAATCAGAGTATATAGTAGCTAGCGTGGCAGTGAAGGAGGCGATATGACTGAAGAACTTCATTGGAGACCTTGGAGTTGTACTAACTATTAAGGAGCCAACGGAAATTTTATGTGATAATGAAAGTGATGTTGCCTTAGCCAAGGAACCAAGGGATCACGGGAGATCTAGACACATCGACAGAAAATACCATTTCATCAAACATCGAATAGAAGAAGGACTCCTCATGGCAAAAAGGGTATCATCAGATGAGAATCCAACAAATCCCCTCACGAAGGGACTGACATGGGTTAAGCATCTCCAGCATGCTCAGAGCATAGGGCTGAAGGATGATATTAGATTAGTAGTTAGATAACCTTGAAATTTGTAAAGTTTAATTGACATTAGATGATAAATAAAAGGTGTTTTATTTATGAGTAAATTGTTGCTATCTCTTGTTGATCGTTTACTATATTTCTTTCTCATGTTTTGACTTCCAGAATAATTATCTTTGGTATATCATATTATTCAAACCTCCACCGTCGGTCATATGTCGGAAGTAGGTATGAATCAAGACTGTCGTGATTGGTTGTAGAGGTCTAAGGTGTGGGACATGGCTACAAGAATCATGAGTGCTCATAAGTTCTGAGCATTGGACTCAATCCACGCTCACTGGAATCACTTCATGGAATTTATCTCGAGTGATCATGAGACAGTAATATCATATAAGTCTACAAACCTAGAGATATGATTTGTTACTTGTAAGTTGGTTATGCATTGATTGTACGTAAACACATTGGTACCTTGATGTTATAAAACGTGCCTTTGTGTATAATTCAATGAGTAGTAGAACAAACATATGAGTCAAAGTTTATCTGTTCCATCTTGGATTAGAAGTTGATATCTGGGCCCCTCGATGATTTTGTTTTGACTTATGTACCGGGCCCGGTTAGAACTAAGAGGCTCCATGGATTATCAAGTTGTGTTCCACCCATAGGATGATCCATGGATGCTCCATAGGAGTTACAAACCCATGGGTCATGGAAATGAAAAGCCATGACATATTAGGGTTTACATGGTGTAACTCTAGAAGTGTCAACACTATATAAAGAACATATTCTCCACCAAAATTGGCTACAGACAAGAAACAAGAGGGCTAGGCCGATTTTAGAAGTGTGTATTCTCTCTAAAGTCGTTCCAAAAGCATTTGGTGTTGTGTGAAGCATTGACGCATCACACTTGGGGTGCTAGGCTCATAAGGTTTAAAGGAACATAAGCAACAACAAGGTACGTTATTATATCTTTCATTCAAGTTAAAAATTGTTCCCCATGTACGCTAGATAAGAATATAACCTTAGAATTCAACTTTGCATGATTATTAGAAAAACATAGATCCAAGGTTATTAGGGTTGCATGTACACTTAGGAAGTGTTAGAATGCTCAAAACCCATCATATTCATCTTATATCCAGGTGTCATTATTCAGAGGAAATGTGCATGTGGCAATCCATGCTTTTGAAACTCTATCACATACACATATGACCCCACCACACCGATTATATGTCTCTGTAATAATTGTACCTTGAGATCCTCTAACATAACATGAAAAACTCTTACCATAAGGTTCGATCGATCTTGAGCTGACTGTCCAGGCAATAACTCATCATCGATTTCTTTCCATTTTGGGTTGCACGTCATTGTAAGAAATATATCAGGCATCCCATCATCTTGAACTAAAGCCATGGCATCCATAAATCTTCGTCGCATGTCACATGGACCTCCAATGAAACTTGCAGGTAACACAACTCTTTGTCCAACCCTACTTGGTTGAGCGTCACCGACATTGAAGCAATCAACAATGCCCTGGTATAAATTGGCCCTAATTTTGGTTTGGTTCTTTTCAACAAAAACCAAACGTGTAGTCTCAATCTTTATATAGGTATCTACTGCAAACTGCTAGAAAAATCTCCCTCCCATCAAAATCACATTATCATTCGATCGTATCTGGAACTTATAACAATAGTACTCCCGCATACATACAGTATTTCCGCCTTTTTTTGAAGTATATTCTGTGATACCATAATTTATGTGAAAAATATAAATTTAATATCCATATATTTAAAGCGATATATGTTACATGTTTTAAATATTTAGAAGAATGTTAAAGGCGTAGCTTCTAAGCCATCATCATTGTCTTCATTGTCACTATGAATTTCATCCATGGCGACCCCATATCTTGGTATTTTAGGATGCCATCCAGACTCACCATTAGGAAAGAATAAAGGATACGACAAAGGATCATAACAACCAAAGTGAGGTTGAATTTCAGTACTATAGTTAGACCTCCCATAGACAATAATACTTGTTTTATATGCAGTGATGTTGTCATTTCCTTCAACCCAAATACCAGCAACCTATGCAAAGGTGTAGTTCAATAAAGATAAATGCTAATATTCACACCTCAGATGTGGTCAACTTATTGTACACCCTTTGGTCAAGTTCCACCGATGCATTCAAAGTCAATATATATTTATCAAGCGGTCGTAGATCAGAAAGACGTTTAAATGTTCTAACGTACGGATTCGAAGCAAGAATACATGTTAGTTTTTGAATTATTCTTCTATCAACATTCTTCCGGGAGGATCTCTATGATATTTCAGCTTCACCATCATAAAAATACAACTGTAAATACCTTGATTTCCCATCCCTTGAAATTAACTGATCGATATTATGATAGAGTGTTCTGTGAGAACAAAAAGTGTAAACTCCAGAAGTCATATTGGCCAAGTCTTCATCCACCTTTACACCCATTGATACGAAAGAGAAGTTTGAGTTATACACCTTTATATTGTACCTGAAGCATTCTTCCAGCTGCTCTTGCCTTTTGAAGAGTTTGTGCAATTGTGTGGGAATAGGGGAGTATGCCAGTTTTGTCTACCCACTGATGCAACAAAAGGTATGGAATTCATGTTGTAGTCGCTTTGCACCACAATAAACACAAGGGTTTTGAGCCTTTAATATACGATGTTCCATACAGATGTTTTTGTAAACAAAATCATATGGATCCTCCTGAAAGGCGTATACTCTTCTTTTTTCCATCATAGTTTGTTCCTTTCTTCGTTGATAATATTCTTTATTATAAGTACTCATCGTCTGAGCTACACTTATAACACTCATAGTGGAATCTTTGTTGATATGTGTTTCGTTTGTCTCCATTTTAGTGCAACTTGTGAGTGTTGTAGGTTGACTACATCCTTCACCGTTAGCTATCCTTCCCATTTTGTTTTTTTCCTTTTTTCGTGCATAATAGTTTCTATTTTATCTTTTTTGATTTTCTACAAATATGTTATTTTGATAAATAGTCATATATTATAAATGAAAATATATACTAATATAAACGACATACCTTTTTCTATATCTATCGGGTTCTGGGAATCGACACCGTTTTCGTTTCCCTTATTTACGGTTCACATTGCACACTAAAATGGAAATGTTAAGAATAAGCACATATTATATCATCAAGAATGTAACATTTTGTAATCTACATAATGTGATTTAGTAGTCATGCATGTGTGTGTTTCATAAAGCAACACAACCCTAAATAAATAACCAACTATACTAAAAAATTGTAATCCAAAAACACAATAGAAGAAACTTATACATAGTCAAAAGAAAATTTCCATAGATATCCAAAAATTATTATTTATGCATCCAACTAGGCGAGTCAGTTCATGTACTCGTCGAGTTGGCCATGCAGGGTGCAGAATTTCGATTTTTGCTGCTGGAAATGGACTAGAAACATTACCCTAAACTATTTTGGTGATGTGTAACTTGTTTTAGATGGTGTAATGGGTGTTCTAATCCATTTACAATGGCTAATATCAATTTTTCATGATTTTATGTGTTCATATGTTCTTGAAACTTTGATATTCATATTCATGCTCTTATGAGTTTTTTTTGATAGATCATAGGGATTACTTGTTTAAATGATTAATTCATCATCATTATGTGTTTTAATGGAGTCCATAACTTGTCCTCAAGTTATGGATAACCAAAGTCTCTTTGTGTTAAAAACTATTAAAAGAATACATAAGTTATAAAATGAAGAGTCTTCATTTTAATAACTCATAACTTATGAATTTGAAAGGTTTTGTAAAGTTACAAAACTTGCCCTCATGTTTTGGAACATATAACGTCACTTAATAAACTTTAGTTCCAACCCCTAGATTTTTTTAATTTAAAAATCAACCCTTATACTATATATATATATATATATATATATATATATATATATATATATATATATATATATATATATATATATATATGAGCAAGTCGTCTTACCATTAGTAGGTCTCATTCACGAAGTCGGTCTATAAGGGTGTGGGGGGGGGGGGGTGTATAAGGTTGTTGCCTATAAAATGGAAGCTTAATGGGTGTCCATTCTCACCCACCGCTTCCTTGATCGATGGAGGGTTATTAGTCGAACTGGTATGACAAGGACTTATAAATTCTCATTAAAAGTATGATGAATATTATAAAGTAACTAAATGTTTTATTAAATTCCCAATCTTAGTTACGTTAGGAAAATATGAATAAGGTGCTAATCCATGAAATTACACTTTACATTTTATATAAGTCGTTGGTGGAGCGTGTGTGGTTAACCTGCACACTAACTTGGACTTAACAAGGTAGGTAAAGGGTGACTTAAGGTTTATCATAGTATCGGTGGAGCGTGTGTGGTTAACCGACACATCGATTGGGAGATGAACTTTAAGGGTACCAAGTAATTTGCATGGTTACTTCACACCTCGTTTTGTGATCCTCATTATCCTAGTCACAAAAAACGGAGGGCACACTTGAGATTGAAACATGCCTTTGAAAAGTTCATTGAATCTCAAAAAGTATCTAGGAATTTCTAAGAACCAATTAAAATCCTAATATTTATATTTCGTTTTTCATAGTGGAAATTGGTAAATCGTCATTCACCTACCTTTCAAATATGTTATAGCTTAGAATGCGGCATACCTCTTCTAAATTATGATATATTGTGATTGGATCGTAGCCTTAATATTATATTTTGGTGTTTTATTAAGGACTCTCTTTACAGGCTCCATTTCCCTTCTAAATTATGATATATTATGATATATTGTGATTGGATCGTAGCCTTAATATTACATTTCAGATGTCTTCCAACAACACTACTTCTGGCTCAAACCCTACAGGATCCTTTTCCCTCATGAACCTATGTGGGAGGGTCATATTCGATGGTTCTAACTTTATGCGTCACAATTAGAAATTTTTGGTGCCTTGTAACTACAACACTTATATCAACTATGAATCAAAAACAAGAAAGCATGCATGATTCTTTCTCTATGACAACAGAATTTCAATCAAACACTTCATACAAGCACTACAAATAGTCAACAAATAATTGGAAACCCTAGAAGTCCTTGTTTAAGTCCATTTTGGACTAGGACTTCCTTATTGGGCCCAATGGACCAATAAGCTTCCAATTAGAATATCATGCGCTTAGAGCTCTTGAATGGGTTCTAATTGGATCCACTTTCATTTATTTTAATATTTTGGGCCATATTAGGCCTAGAATGAAACAAAATATTTAAATGAACCTCATTGGGCCATTACTAACCTAATTAGCCCTAATGGGTCATAACAAAAGTCATTACTTGATTTATTTTGGGCCAATAGTTATCTAAATTAGCTATGATTTGGAGTTAGGCATTTAAGGGCCCAATTCCTTCTTTTTTCTCTCCAAATCTCGGTCCAAGCCAAAGAGAAAGGGAAGAGTTGACTTCATGCATGCCACATCATTTTTGTATGGGGGATAACTAGGCATTACACTTCAAACATCCATGCACTTCACATCTTTCCACGCAAGCTCACTCTCTCTTCTTCTCCCTCTCTCCCTCTCGGCCGAATCCAAACAAACACACACACACACACACACACTTCACTCACAATTCTCTCAAGAAAACTCTCTCCACTCCTCTCCATATTTTCGAGATTAAGGAAGCTTTCAGGGAGATTTAACCCATAAACACATCATCTAAGGTAAGTTGATGTTAGATCCATAATCTAGCTATTTCCTTTTCTCACACCCCGAAAATCGAAGGCGGAAACATTTCTGGGGCGGACTCCATGTTGAGTATCAAACCAATGTGCATAGTAAGCAAAGTAAACAACCATTACATTACATATATAAAAGTTTACATTTGTTTCAAAAGTAAATTGTACAAGTGTGATACATAGTATATATGAACAAAATGAGACGAGTCTTCTACGCACTCCGCCTTCGCCAAAAGGGATCGTCGGATACCTCTCTAACGCGGACCTGAGAATACAAGCGGTTTAAAAATCAGCATAAAGCTGGTGAGTTCATAAGCGTTTTGTTTTATGAAAAGAACGAGTTCCTTTGGTTTCCTGAAAAAGTGGTTAACCAAGAAAATCCCATATTTTCTTAAAAAGATTGGTTATTGTTTCTCAACATGTAAAGTAAAGTTGTACACTGAAAACACGTTTACTCTTGCAAAAATGTACTGTTAGGTTATCTGGTTCGATATATTGTTCTGGTTATGTACCAATGTATTCTCAGAAAAGTCCCATACTTTCCTGATTATGTGTTACCGATTGTGAAAGATGTAAAGTTATCCAGTTTATTACACTTTTCTAGTTATGTAAGCATTCCCCAGGAAAGTCCCATACTTTCCTAAATGTTGGTTATCAACATAAAAGATGTATTCTGTAAAACGTGGTTATGTTTAATGTTATCCCCAGGAAAACCCCATGTTTTCCTGAATGTGTGTGTGTATGTGTGAACTATTACCGATTCCGATTATGATCAATGTTATCCCCAGGAAAACCCCATTTTTTCCTGAATGTGTGTGTGTGAACTGTTACCGATTCCGATTATGATCAATGCTATCCCCAGGAAAACCCCATGTTTTCCTGAACGTGTCTGTGTGAACTGTTACCGATTCCGATTATGATCAATGTTATCCGCAGGAAAACCCCATGTTTTTCCTAAATATGTGTGTGTGTGAACTGTTACTGATTCCGATTATGTTCAAATGTACATTAGTTTTATTACGTACATAAAACTAATAAATAAGTGTAAAGCCTTAATAATCTTGATTGCGAGTCCTTAACCACACTTCAGACTAGATATGACTTGGGCCAGGGCCAATATCCTTTATGACTTTCGTCACCCTTGAACCTTTCGGTTCGGCTGTAGCTAGCAGCCAGGTGTGGGATTGTCAGTCCCATATAAATCTACACACTCAAGCCACGCTCTCCTACGTTCAAAGATTCTGGTTACAGGGGTAGTCCTCCACTCTCTCGAGCCAAGGAAGTGTTACAAAGGACGTGTCTCCAACCTTTAAGATTTCCCTTTACTTCTCGTGCCTAGGGAAGTAGTATCTATGACTATCTAAGTTCTAATGGATCATGTCCTTTACACTCGAGCCTAGGTGTTTTATTAAGGACATTACAATGTTTTATGTATTCTAAAGGTATCTGTCCTTTACACTCGAGCCTAGGTGTGTTAGTAAGGACATTACGATTGATTTATGTTTCCTAATGGTGTCTGTCTTTTATACTGGTGCCTAGGGTATTTTATTACATACTTTACATATGATTTATAATCTCAATCAATATAAGTGTGAACAATCAATTGTAAAGTATACAACATACCAGTATATAATACGAATTGAAAATCGGTTTGAACAAACAACTCTGCGAGTTAAAACAGTTTGTAAGTAAGTTTTCAATTCTTAAAAGTGTGAGAATTATGAAACCATTTAAAATGAAATAATGAATTTAAGTACAAGGTATCATTATACTTTTGCTTGTATTCCCCCCTGAAAACATTTAAAAACCATTGAAAAAGGGTAGGGGTATGAACTCACCGGTCGAGAAGCGTGTCAGATTGGACGCTAAGTATCGGTTTGGGGCTTGATAACGCGTGAGGTTCCTATGTAATATGAAATGATACGAAAATGTATTTAATTAGACTTTAAATCACTAATTAGATATGATTATACACTCCAAGACGCAAAAACACCTCAAATCAAGTGTTTGGAGTGACCCGGGTGACATCTAGGGACGTATAAGGCTCGGATATGGAGTTTACTCCTCAAGAGTAAACTCATAAGAGGGTTTACGGTTCTAATGACTCATTCCCCATGAGTTTACGGCCATAAACTCATGGGTGGTGGGTTCTTGGATGCCAAATGGTCATACAATGCACACGGGAAGGTTCT